GTAACCATTGGTTGTTCTATGTAGCCAGGCTTTGACCATTGTTCAGTATTGGTGACAATACTTGCAAAAACAACACATTGTCTGACTTAGTTGCAACACTTTGAGAAGTCCATTGGCTTCTTCAGTAGTGCTTACTAGGAGTTCTAAACTCTTTTAATTGTCATAAGGTGGATGAGAATATGTTAGCTCTTCATAGAAATCTTTTAACATTCAATATCGTATTTTTGTACGAAAACATCCTGTTACCTACAGCCTATGCTACAAATGTCCCATCTTTGAAGTCTTGATATTCTCTGGGTAGTTGACAGATTTGCTCAGTTCTACTTCCCACACCTAGCTAAAGGTCTTCCCTCATAAATCCTGTGAACACAATCTAGTTAGAGTGATAGTAGTAACATATACAGTATTATTCTGACACCTTCAATTCTGTAGCATTATAGTGACAGGACACAACTAAGATAAATATGTATGATGACACCCAGGCCCTGTAAAGGGGCTAGAGGGGGTTGTTGGAGACCACCGATTCCAATTCCAAGCAAGGCTACACTACTTAGGGTGGTTCCTAGATATCTGTTAGGAATACCAGAATCCAATACCTAGGAACCACCCTAAGTAGGGTAACCCCACTTGGAATCGGAATCTCTGGTCTCCAACACCCCCCTCCGGCTCTCTTATGGGCCCACGCGTCATCATATATATCAATCTCAGTTGTGTCCTATGACTACATTACCACAGAATTGAAGGTGTTAGAATAACACCATATACGTCGCTGCCGTCTGTCCAACTGGATCGTGTTCGCAGGACATGTGAGAGGGGACTTTCGGCTAGGCCTGGGAAGTAGAACGGAGTAATTCCTCAACTACTCAGAGAGTTACTAGGCTTCAAAGACATGACACCTTTGGCATGAGCCGTAAGTAACGGGACGATTTCACACAATGAGATGGTATCAAATAGTAAAAAATCTCTACTAGATACCGATACAATTACATACATTAGAAGAGTCTAGAACTCCAAAGGACACTACCAAAGAAGCCAATGAACTTCACAGAGTGTTGCAACTGGGTTTCGGAACACGTTGTAGTCATGGGGTGATTCTTAATACTACAATGGTTACTGAAACCTACTACCCAGAGAGCAACCAAGGGTTGCCGACCGAGGGATTAATTACCAGTCTAGTAGAGTAGCTTCCTGCAAGTGAATAGGAAGTCATCCAAAGAAAATCTATCAGTTGGGTATGGAGTTACAAAGGATCGGAATCAAATGACCTACGATGGTTGTAATGACGACCACCTTTGCAGATATAGCCATGGATAAGACTGATCATTTTATCAATGGCGAAGACAATTGGAGCCAACTCAGTTCTACTTAAGAACTAGGCTATAAGTCTAAAGACTCTGCTAATCGGGATATTACTATTGGGGACAATACGTTTCCTAAGAAGAAATATCGTAATTACCGAAGAGGGTGTGATGGTTTTCAGAGTCCACAGGTGTTCGCACCTTGGAAGAAAACTTGATGTTGCGAATTACGATTGAAGAAGTACATAGTTGTATGATAAATAGATGTAGTCTGCGAACACTCAGACATGAAATATAAATATCGAAGTGCCTCCCAAGCTTTAGACATCATCAAGCAACGTAGACGAGACCTTAACAATATAATATTGTTTTTACGATTCTACCCTACTTTACCTACTTTACTTCGCTCCTAGTAGTCATAAACGAAACGAGCCAAGTCCGAGCCTTCCTAGACAATCTCCGTCTACAAAAATGAATCTCGATTGGCCTAGACAATCTTGAAGTCTATCAAGTTATCTCCGCCTAACAGTATCAGATCCTGGTACTCCTAGCAGTAAATTTTTAAAGATGAATACTTTTAAATAAAAGGTTTCTTTGTAAATTTTATAACCTTTATCCTCCAACCAATCATCAAAAAGTATTAAATAATTATGCTATAAAAGACTAAATAAACTAATATCTAATGATGGTTATAACAGGTACATAGAGTAGGATGGTAGACAGAGACGAATAATATTATATTCAAAACAGTAGTCAAAAAACCATCAAGTAACATATAAGATATAACCATCTAAAATTAATAATCATTTAAAATGTAGAGATCTAATAAAATTATTTTCATATATTAGATCTAAATAGAAGTCTATTATAACAATATTATTATATAAATTTAAATAAGAAAAAGCAAGACATACTGGTTCTCAGTATTAGGCTCAAAGTTGTTTTTCAAATATAATTAACCTATCTTTAATTTGACCATCCAGTTTCAGAACAGTTAAAAAATGCTTTATCACCTACTTCTACAAGTGTGTACTAGTTTTTATATTGTATAATAATCTTGCATACAATATGAGGTAGTAGGATAAAACTACTAGTAGATATTGTTTTGGTTGCTGTAATCGGCTCCTGTCTACTGTCATGAAACTTAAAATTCTGCTTTTTCCCCTTCTGGCAGATCATCTTCATACTTGTTAACCAGCCCATTAAAATCACTTTCTTATCTATATTGTAGCCATTCTTTAGTAGAATATTATGTCTTTAAGTAACTTCTTACAACTATAGTGTAATGTATCAAAATAAGTATACACACTGATAATTAATGATTAATTAAAAACCTTTTTCAAATAATCTCAAATATTAATTGGATTATTTGCAAAGCTGCACTATTTATTGAACTGTACTATAAAGTATGCTTAGAGTATAGAATTTTGTTTTAAAAGCCTAATCATTCAATTCTTTCTTAAAACTTTCTTCTGAGTACTATGACTTTTCAGAAAATCAGTTGCAAGGCTCTTAACATACTTTAAGTGTTGTAGAAACCCTCAGGTGTCTAAATGTTTAACCTAAATAACAATAACCTGTTTTTCCATTTTAGTTAGATTCTGCTCTGTCAAATGTACTTCACACTAGAGAAGACTTCCAGTAAGGCCTTTCCGAAATTGCCCATAAGTAATTCTGTAGGCTCGAGTAGCATTGTATATGTTGGTAAACTTTTAGGCATGGCAGTTATGTATAGTAGCTTGAACTCATAATTTATATGTAAGATTTGAAGATTTTGGAGCTGGAGTAATAATTCTTGAATCTTTTTAGAATTAAATACAATTAATGTGATATAATATATCATACTTTCTAATATATACTATTAAATGAGAATTATCTGCTTTTATAATTGTTGATAAGTTATCCAGTACTGATTATTTACTCAGTAATATCTGTTATAAGAAAGGAGTTTGGGTCTAGTTGGATAGCTACTCATGCAACTATCTATTGTTTTTTTCTATCTGTAACTGTATACATAAAATCTTTATACTCTTAACTACTTTACATACTACTTTTACTACTAGCTTCTATCTAGACTCTCATACCCAGCACTATAAGGAAAAGTAAATTCCTAATAGGTAGATCACTACTTACATTAGTATAGTGTGAGGTAGGAGGAGTTGTATATTATTGCTCATTGCATAATATAAATAGTTAATTTATAACAAAAATCAAGGTTGACTTTTATTCCTAAAAAAGCAAAATAGATATTATACTCTATTAGAAAACTGTAATAGAACCAGATTTGTTACTGTTCTGATATGAGTTCTGTAATAGATATAATTGGATGGGAGTTATAAAAGTTAGTACTATAAGTCATAAAGGTACCATAATTCAATATTGGAAACCTAATGAAATATAGTAGATATAGTAGTCCACAGAATTACCAGATTTGAATCTCATTAAAAGTGTTTTAATTAGATTTGAAAATGGAATTGGGTGAGACTTGGGACAGAATTGGCAATATTCTTATATTAGATATAGTATTAAATACTAGTATTTGACATGGAATTTCTAAAGATTGATTGGAGAGCTTGGTTCATAGCATACTCTAAGGATTACAGACTGTCATTAATGCAGATGGAGGGCCTACAGAATATTAGTTTGAAATTGTAAAGGTACACCTGACTTTTATCCTCCATGTATTGTCATCATTTGATATCACTCAACTTTCCTACCTTGATTTAGTTCCTATATAAATAGCTTGCCTATTTAGGAAGTGCGCCCGACTTATGTTTACCACCGAGTACAAGCCTCCACCAACCGAGGCAATCATTCACATATAGCTTTCCGATCGGTAAAAACCTAAAAAATTGAACCCTGTTCCATACGTATAATATTATACTGTTGGGCTTTCCTCCCCGGGTAAGGTCCAACAATTTTACTTCCATCTCGGAAGGGCGAAATAGGGAGTTGCTTTCGCCGTGTTTTTCTCCCATTTTCCCGAGAAGGAGATTTTCGATTGCATAGCGAACGGTTCAGTTATTCAAGTTTCTATTAACAGCGCTGTACCGAGTTTCATCACGAGAACCACCCCCCCTCCCCCACTTGTGTTTCCCCCTTACGCCCCACCTCTTTGCTTTTGGCTTATCATTACTTGTACAGTATCGGTATCACACCGCCAAACATTCCAGCCAGTGATCTTAGCGTGCCATCCCGTTCCCACCCTATCACGGAGCAAGTCGTTGCGGGTCAGACGTCGAGGGCGGGGGTGGATTTACAAGCTTAAGCTGAGAGTAGTTATTTCGGTGCATGATTCCGCTCACAGGGGGTAGTGGTAAGGAATGAGTAGTTAGGATTGTTTCTTTAGGAGTAGCACCATTGCTGGCAACAGTGGACAAGCGTCTACCGGCGCCGAGCTCCTACCAATACGAGCTATTGGGCTACTTGGTTACAAGCTATTCCCACCTTACACTAAGGTAACGTACTGAATTACTGAAACCCAACCCTCCGCCGTGGGATGAAACGGCGGTGGCTGTAAGAGTAATCTTCAGGAGCGTTTCAGTTTCCCCCCCCCCATCCTTTTCCCCGTAAATCTATGAAACGGAAACCCTTCGAAGCTCCTGTGTAACCTTCGACAAGGAGGGGATATATGAACACCTAGCGCAGCCATCGGTGGCCGCGCCCTAGCATGAAAAGAGCGAAATTCTTCAATTGATAAACCCCTTCCTTCCTTCATTCATTCCATTCTTCAATTCCTCAAATAATTTCTTCGCAAAGCAAGATCACCCACAAAATACACCAAAGACATGTCAGACGACCTCCTTTCCCACCACCACCTAATCTCCTACCCCAGCTTTATCCCGCTCTCCAACAACCCAACCTGGTACACCACCCAACTGCCGAAGGATCGCTCAAAGAACCGCACGTACCTATTCCTACCGACACCGACCTCCGTGTCGTCTTTCAAGCATCGTATCCCGAAATTCCTTGCGATAAATCCAAACTGGAGCATCTACTCCTTCGACAAGAGTATATTAGAATTGTACACGAAGGCGACGCGCACTTCACAGCTGTACGAGATGCGCATGTGTGGCGGCAGCCAGCGCAGAGGTCATACGGGGGGGGAGAACAGTATTGGGAGGGTTGTCGAAGACGGGGAGTGGTTTCGGGAGACGTATAAGGATGAAGCGACGCTGGTTGATGAGGAGGATGTGCTCAGTGTCGTGGACCCTAGCGGTGTGCGACTGGCGTTCACCACGTGCTTGGGTGATTCGGGGAGGCTGTTGGTCACTAAGGTTGAGGTTGCAGAGGGGGTTAAGCAGAGCGTGCGCGGGGTCGAGGTCGTCAGGAAGTTGCTGGGCACCGTCGCTGATATCGCGGAACGGGGGGGATTGAGGGCTTGGATCAACATCCCTGTAGAGGATGCGGTCATTGTTGGCGTGCTTTTCGAGATGGGGTTCGTTGTCAATCGGACGCTTTGGCTTGTTGAAGGCGATGCGGAGGTTGTGGATGAGAGTGGGATTTCTGATATTGTTGTCGGGAGCGGAAGGGTGAAGAGCGTTATGGAGAAGAAAAATAAGGCTGAGGTTTGGAAGTTGCCAGATTGGGAAGGGGGCATGAGTGGGTGGAGAGAGCAGTGGTCTGCCGCCTTGGATAGAATCATGGCAGGGGGGGCATAGGCATGGACGGTCACTCGTACCATAATGGCTCTCGATTAATTTTAAATTAAATAGATGATGGACATTCCCGTTGTCTAGATTTCTCTCCCTTTTGTACACACCACTGCGGGAGGGGGTCGCCCATACTGGGCACGGCCACTCGTTCCAGCCCCAAATCTAGCATGTTCCGCTAGGAGCATTCTTACAGTCCGAATACTTTCCTCCGCTAATTTCGACTCCACTCCACTCCCAGTCGGAGCAAGCATCCTGTGCGCAAAGGACATAGATCTGCGTCGCAGAGGAAGTAACGGTACCCTTCACGTTGGTGATCGTTAAGTCGGTGATAGGAACCCCGTCAGTAGGTCTATATTGGATCAGCTAACTATTCCACAATTTGGGGGCTGTGGGACAACGGACACTCCAGTAGGACTTCCGTTCTCATAGTCTTGCTGAATGACAATTCCGCGTTTCGAGATGTTCTTGAGCGTAATTCCGGAGTACGTGACATCACTGACGGAACCGGTAGTACCGCTGACAGTTTTTATTCTTATACCTGATGAGATAGTGCGGTCAGACAGACCGCCACCCACAATGGCAAGTTTTAATGTCACTCACCATTATCCGAGTCGACAACTGTAGAGTCCTTGATGGTGACCCCACGGACTTCGTTGTTTTTCCTTCCACCAACGCTACCGATTGAAATACCGTGTCCGCCCTGGTCGATGTTAGATCCACCTACCAGATATCACCTCGGGGTGGTGGACACATACAGAGCAGAAGCAATTCAGGAAGTTAATGTTTCTTCCTGAATTAACGGCCAAACAATCGTCCTGGTTGTAGACTGTTGCACCCTCAATAGTAACACCATCGGAACTTCCGACGTCGAAAGCGTCAGTGTTGTGTCCCAAATCATTGACATCTCCATCCTTGTTATTAATGGTAATCGAAGACAGGAGGAGATCTTCAACCCCACTGATACTGAAAGCTTGAACGGGGGTGTTCTTGAGAGTTAATCCGGTAATCGAGGACGACTTCAATCCGTGTGCGGCGAAGAATTTGGGCTACTGCACTCAGCGCCGGCCCGACGGATTCAGAAGGAGATCAACGCACCTTTTTTTTGCCACCATTGCCTCCCTTGGTATCCCACCATCTCGCTCCGTCGCCATCAAGAACAGATCCGGGAGCCCCAACTATATGAACATCTGTTCCGCTAACCGACACGAGTGGCCCAGTCCACTCTTTATAGCCAAAACAAAGAGTTCCTGTGAACGTAACGGTGGTCCCTGTGAGGAGATCAGTCAAATCGAGTGTTTGCCCCGCAGGAACGGTAAAATCCCCAATGGAGATATCCGTGCAGGACTTCTTGCAAGCGGCTACATCGTCGATGGAAGTAATTGTGCAAGATGGAGAAGGAGAACGTGCAATGAGTGGAATTGCAGTCACCAGACTGGCAAAGATCGAGAGAGAGGCAAAAGCGAACATCCCGGCTAAGAAAAGCACACGGTGCTAGTACAAAAGAATGTATAATTTTTTTAATTTTGTTCCTTTGAAAAAACCAAAGGATTAAGATAGTGGATGAACGAGAGGACGGAGCTTGACACCTGCTGCCGAAGAAGCTATAACACCGAGGCCTATCAGAGGTTTATATACTGCCTAATAAGTTCGGGGGTACCCCCTCAATCCCTAGCAAATCTCAACCCGGCAGTAATCTTCTATCTACTATAGACTAAACGATTCCAAAAAAGATTTCATATTTCACGCTCGTGGTCGACGAAAAGCTTAGCCCGGGTGCTAGCCTGGCGAATGTTTGTTTCTCCGACCCCAGCCTCCCCCAAATTGGTGGTGAGTGGCGTTTTTGTTTTACCCAAAAATATAAGTTAATATATCTGAAAGAATTGCAGTACTAGTGCCCATGAGAGGCGAGATACAAGTACAGTACTGTACTCGCGTGCATGCTATCCAGAAACACACTTACTTACTTTAAGCGACTGGCGGTGGTGACATAAATATCAAACATAACTAAGGGTTTGCCTTGCAAGCAGAACGGACAACTCCCCAGACTTTCGAAACCGTACTACTCTGGGGTATTAGCGAAAGTTTTCCGCAATGTTTGTACTACCTCAAGAACCGGGAATACAAGTACTATACTCGAGTACTCACACCTGATCCCCACGCGAGGCCCCTGGAGCTTCCTCTCCGGGTAAGGTCGGTTGGGCCTTTACTGATACTCTCGAGTGCAGCTCGATGTAACTGAAATTATTCGGATTGCGTATGCTGAGAGAGGGGCTGGTAATAGAATTCTCGAATTTAGTGGGATCTATGGGTGGAGGAATAAAGATTTCGGGCCACCCATGGCACCTACCCTAAGGATGCCTTTAACTGCGCGAATATGAACATCGGGTGTACAGACCAAAAGAAAGTAGTAAATGTTTCCAGTTAAAATGCATTTCGGTTTGTTGATTACCGGTACCCCAGTTGAGTGACATTTTTGATGGAAGTTGGGATCAAGTCAGGCTGCAGGCGACCGGTAGTCAAGTGTGAGCCTGCATCCCGACGCATTCCCTAATCTGTGCGCAGATTTTGCATCTTTTTAGCGCTGTTGATGGCCTAGGTTAGTCTTGGGTCTTAACCGGAAGCAGTATTGTCGGGAGCACTTGCTGCTACCTGACGAGTAGAAAGCATCCCTTGGGTGCTGTACTAGTACAAGTACGAGCTTGGCGACAAAATTCGTTGACCCCCTCCCCCATTTTACACCAAAAATAGGTGTTTTTGCTTTGCAAAATCACATCTTTGTTGCTCTGCAAGAAATCGAAAAATTCACTAGCATTCTTAGTGACATCTAGATATTACTGCCCTTGAGTATCAAGCTGTGTTAATAATTGCTCATGGCACAATTCTCTAAAGCATGAGAGTGGTCCAAAGGTACTTCCAATTTTGGATGAGGTTCCCATACAAAAGGTACATTGCAACCGTGTTCAATCTGGACACTAAGCTCCCAGCCATTATTGTGCAGGGCGAAAATTCTGATAAATTTTTCTCACAAAGCCTAGGTAATATCCTACATTATGGTATTAATTTCATCAGTTCTTTATTGCTTTTGGATGAGCTGTGGTTGCGTGAAATCAGCCACTTTTAGTGTAAAATGGAGGGGCACGCAGTTGACAAAAAAACTGTCACACATACAGCCCAAGTATCATCGCAACGGCACATCACAACGGCAACCACACAAAACAGTACAATCCATACACCACGAACACGCCTCCGAAAATTTCCAAAATGGCCACTCGAAGAACAGAAAAACGGAGAGCTGACCATGACCCAAATTCTCATTACGATACTCTACGAAAAGCAAAAGTTCTTGGCACAATGGAATTCCTAAGCGAGATCAGAGGCTTGAACGGTACACCCTATTTCAAGAATGATGTTTATCGCTTCTATAGAATGCATCCCCATGCAGGTCAGAGGTTGATGAAAGAGGCAGATAAAGCAGTAGAACAGGTGAGTACTCATATATCTTCAGAGACTTGTAAAGATCTAGAGGCTAAATTTATTGATACTTAGGCTACCGGTAGTAAGAAAGTAGAGGAAAAGGATCACAAAGTTTTAAGTACAAATCCTCATGATAATGCAACACGGCGATATCATAACTCCAGATTAGATAAGGAAAGGAGAGGATGAAAATCAAAACTGGGTTGGAATGAAATCCACAAAATGGATCGGACTTGAAGAGTATGGTGAGGAAGCACGGAAACTATCATGGCAAGCTTTAGCCTTTGAGGCAGGCTGTGAGGAGGTTAGTGCACGAACAGTGTAACAGGCAATGGGAATGATGGGCTACAGACAGTGCATGGCTTGCCGTAAAGGATGGATAAATCCAAGTACTCGAAAGCATAGAGTTGACTATGCGAAAATCATGCTCAAAAGATATCCAGACCCTGAGGACTGGAAAGTTGTACGATTTTCTGATGAGGTACACTTTGGCTATGGGCTCTCACAAACTGGATATATCATCACAAAGCCTGGTCAACGATACTGTTCAGATTGTATTGTTGAAAGCCTATCTGATGAAAATAAGGTAACTAAAAGAGAGCATGGATGGGCTGCCATTGAATGGAACTTTAAGTCAGACATGATTCTTTACAATGCAAAGTCCTCAAATGGAAAGATGTCACATGAAGTCTACGTCAGTCAGATTCTGGATCCTGTCATTGGGCAATGGCTCAAAAAAGGTGATGATTTTGTGCTAGAAGAAGATGGTGATAGTGGGCATGGAGGAGGTTGAAAAGCTTGGGATCCAAAAGCACCGAGTACAAAGAAAGAAAACATTGTACAATAATGGAAGAGGGAACATGGATTGAAATTTTATTTCAATTGCTATGATTTCCCCGATCTTTCTCCAATCGAAAATTGCTGGCAGGGGCCAAAGCAAACAGTCAAGTGAGTCAGTCATTTTGATGAAGAGACTACAAGAGAGTTGATTTATGAGGGCTGGGAGAAGGTATCTCAAGAGCACATTAATGAGTGGATTTTGTCTATGCCCAATAGATTTCAAGATGTAATAGCTATGGATGGTGCAATGACTGGCAATTAAAGGTTTAATTTAATTGTTATTGTACTTTAAATCTGTTCTGAAGAAATGTGATTGCCGTTGTGATGTTGCTTGGAGTTTGTATGTGACAGTTTTTTTGTCAACCGCGTGGGGGGGTCAGTAAATTTTGTCACCAAGATCATACAGTACAAGTACTTGTACACTTGAACTATTCCCAACCTCTGGACATCTAAGGGGCCTAAGAGGCAACAAATTGAGATGAAGAGATAAGAGCCAACTCTCACCCTTTACCAGTACTCATTGAAGTCGCTTCCCTTTTGGAATACTGCATCACCATCAAAAAAAAAACACCAATTCAATCCTGTGCCATGAGCGGCATGGTATTAGCCATAGGCGAGGTTCCGTTTGGTGAAGAAATGTCAAGGATTAGGGGAGAATGAATGATATTGCAGCTGTACAAGCGCCATGTGTGATGTTTTCGTACAAGACTTAGCCTGCAGGGATATTTAAGACATGAAATTCATTGCATAGGAAAATATAAATACATAGCTGCAGTATCCCATGGTGTAATGAGTCCCCAGCATAGTGAAAATGTACATAAAAATACTCACTGGCCTATAAAGATAGTATGGGCATTCTTGCCAGACTGGGGACTCACTTCACTATAGGTTACTGTAAAGGAATGTAGACCTGGGGGTGATAATATAAGGAGAGTGTGAGAGGCTATAAAAAAGATCCAAATTTTTTTTTTTGAAGTACAGTTACACCTCACTGTACCAGATGGCCAAAATCTTCCTAAGATTCTAGAATTTGTTTAGGATAGCAGATTATCCAGAACAATAGGTACAGTTTCAGTGTAAATTTATTCAGAGATCTGAGAATTTCATCCAGAACAACAGGGAATCTGGTAGAGTGAGGTCTGGAACAATGGGGTGCGACTGTATTACAAGCAATGCATAAAAGAAAGATGAAAAAAAAGAAATAAAAAGAAAAGACAAAATCCTCCTCAATAAACGGAAGAGCCACCTTGAGCAAGATGAACCGATATTGAAGCTTGTAGTTAATATAAGAAGAAAAAGTAGAAAGGAGGCGGAGTTTTAACCTCATAAAGGCAAGTAGGAAGTGAGTCTACTAGTACTTCCAACTCATCTGGAGTAATAGCTGCCTATTCTTCCTCAATAGCAAAGCAGAGGACTTCATTGGTAGTAGGAAAGGGGTTGCGGGGGTGAATGCATTGCTTTAGGTTTTATCAAAAGTTTTCAATCAGACTACAATCAGGAGAGGAGGAGGGCCAATCAATGAAATACCGCCAGATACCAAGCGTGCGAATTGATTCTGTGTATGTGCTGCTTAATGGGGGCTTGCCCCATCCTGCTGAAGGTAGATATAGTCCAGTTGGGGCTGTGATTGCTCCTGCCAAAATTGGTTAAAGTGCGGAACTATATATGAAGTAAAAGAGGTAGCCTTAATAGTCTTGCCCCACTGCTCTTTATCCCAAAAAATTAGTGGCCCTTTTTGCCGCTCTTTAAAACAAGCCCAAACTATGATAGTTTCTAGTTTTTTGAATTTTGTTAATAAACAATCCTCCAGATCCTCTTCACCAGCCTGCTAAGTAACCCAAACTTGACTACTGGAAGAGAGCTCACCGACATTAAACACTGACTCATCACTCTAAATTACCTAATCAATCTTATATTAATATTGCCACTGCTTAACTACTAATAAAATAGAAGGAGTAGAAACCTTATGCCAATCAGCATGAGTCCAGTTAGCATAATGCTCAGCCCAATCAACCCTCTTTTCATTGGCTTTAATGTTGAAAAAGGGGCATGCCCGAGCTACTCACCTGTGATAACCTTCGGTTGCAAATGCAGTACAAAGAACCTCAGCTCTAGCATTTACTCCAGCTAGTTCAGCAACTTCTTGGAGGGGT